TATTGTATTTTTCATACATTGTAGCACTATGTCAATTGTACTGTTGACCGTGATATATATATATATATATATATATATATATATATATATATATGACAAGTATGAATGCATATACTAAGTGCAGATACTACACAGAAAGAATGTTTTTTTATGTTTTTCACACGCTATTTTCTCATTTTTGGCAGTTTAATTATTGGAGTTCTAATGTGTAGAATCGCTGCGGATTCATGCAAACTTTCCACTGTCTGCGATTACGCACCATGTCCTCTAGAGTCTGCAACGATGTTCATCCCTGACTCCTTAGCTCGGAAGACATACGGACTCAACAACAGCTCGATTGGAAGTCAGGGTCTTGACCTTGTGTTGCCATGTGGTATGTTGGCCACCGCGCGATCTCTCCCAAGGCGGCCTTGCGCGCGCGATGAGAGCGGGCGGTGGTTAACGCACGAATGGCATGCATAAGACGGGACCTATCTACCGGTTGGCGCAGTGATACTAGCTTACCGAGAGATAGGCTCGGATTACCTAGGACGTGATGTCTAACGTTGTCCCCGCCACTCACAAGATGTTCTCCGCAAACGTTGTCAATGGCCGAAATCCGACGCAAATCATTTACACGGATCAACCAGGGCTCGCTTCCATATAACAGGAGCGCATGAACACAGGCATTGTAGACCATACCCTTCACTAGGTGTCAGACGTCACGACGACGTCCCACGTGCCTCAAATCAGCGAACGGGGATAGGACTTTTCTATACGGAGAGAAATCTCGACCGATAGCGCCATCAGAAGAAACGAAGTTCCTTAGGTGGATGAAGCTATCTACTTGTTCAAGCAACGGGCCTTCATGATTCATCACTGGGGCAATTGGACGCCCATCCTGGAGTAGCGCCTTGCACTTCGATGTAGATCAAGCCATAATTGGATGCCTCAATCAGCAAGCGGTTTAGAACGACTTATATGATGTGTGCGTTTTCACCGAGCAAAGCAATATCATCAACAAATCCTAAGCCAGTCGCACGGTTGCCTGGAAGAACCTCTACCACAGAATCCTGGGCACCTTCCGGAATGCCTAATACTACCTCCCTAATCACAAAATTGAAGAGAAACAGGGACATGGGGCATCCCGGTCACACACCGCTAGCGCTAGCGAAGGGTGAAGAGCTTAAGCCCTCACTGTACTAGGGACTTTGCTTTATAAGGCCCCAAGTATGACGGTAACCCGATTCCTTTACAGACAACGCTACAGTGCATGCTGGTCGAACACAGATCGGGTGTTCAAAAGGGCGATAAAGGTGGCGCTGCTCGATAAGTTGGCGGAACGTAAACAGGTGATTCACAACCTCAGCCAAGGCGGAAACCAGCCTGTTCCTCACGGGAGTGTAGCTCTCGAATCGGTGTTAGCTTGCGCACTAGGATGGATGTTAGTAATTTGGAGGCCACGGATATTAGACTGCCTTCTCTGTGGTTGCCGCATGAGTTGCGAGCACCCTTTTTGATGCTTGGTTCGACGATCGACTCGCCTCAAGAGGATGGAACCTTTTCTTCACACCAGATATTCGAGAACAGAGCTGTTAGCTGGCTGGCAATTGCCTCACCACCGTACTTGAAAAGAGGAAGTCCTCCTGAGCCAGCAGCTTTGAGTCACCTCCAGTGAACATGCTCAAGACGTAACCTCTGCTTCAGTGGGTGGCTCCAGTAAAACATACCAAGGTGCGCAAGTTGGCTGGCTTGTTAGACTGTAGGAAGTAGAAGGCCAGCAGAACTACGAGTTTAAGTGCTCAGCCCAACGGTCCACGCGCTTACGCAAATTAATGATTGGCAATCCATCAACATTACAAATAGCTTCACTGACGCCAGTTATTCTCTGGCCAGTGATCCGACTGATTTGAAGAGCTTGCGAACATTTCCAGAGGGCTGTTGTCTCCACCTCCGAACCGCGCTGAGACCAGCATGTTTCGCGGTGGTTACGCAGGCTTCGCTTGGTTTGTTGCTTGAGGTTGCGGCGGACTTCCTCGGCTTGAATCAGCTAGGGTAGTTCGGCAACAGTCAAACAATTCCAAAGAGTATTCAAAGAGCCAGCCTCTCATAGGACGCCCAGCGATTACACATTATGACCGGAAAAAAGCAACGCCTGCAAAATAATCCAGGTGTTCGACATCTGTAGATAGGGACACAAGCGAGCGCATCTGAAAAGGAGAATTGATAGGCCAATTCCATGGAGGGGTTAGCTATCCTGTTGGTGCGCATCCTACGGTCCTTTCTTTTCGAGGAAACACCAAAGTGCATGCAAATGTCTGCACAGACCAGAGGGTGGTTTGAATCAAGGTTGGTGGACCAAATTGATCTGAATTTTCGTTCAGTACCCCGCCGTCTGGTTGCAATGTGCTCAGTTTGTGAGCACGTTTGTGTTGGCGAAGGGGGACGCCAAGTGACGTTGCGTATCCTCGATTGCCTGGAGTCCGTGCTCGCAAGAGAGAGCCGGCTGTTTTCACAACGCGCGAAGCTTGTCTCTGTTAGTAGATCGACGCTTAACGGGAGTGTGACGACCTCCGAGATGACATTCGCTTGGCAGCAGGCGAGCGACCCGTGCATTGGTCTCCGACGACATGGGATTTAAAACAGTTAGTTCCCTTTAGTAGTTTGAACAACGAAATGAGAAGACGAATATTAGCAGATGCTAGCATTTCGTATTATCTCGTCATTACCAATACAATAACAGGAAAATCCTTTTATGTCTTATAGGGCACAGTACTGCCAATCAAGTTTGTAGTTGTGGTCATTGTTGTTGGGATCAGGACCACGGCAACTGCATGTTGATAACTAATTGCTTTTGTACACACAACTGGTCTAATTCGGCTTATCGCGACGACCTCGGCAAATCGCAAAAGGCGTGAATTAGTATGACGCAACAAGATCCCGAACGCCGATAAGGGATTAACCCGGTGACGAGTCGCCAAGATGTGCCTGCCTATGGAGGACGCTGTCGGCTTACGCGAGCACGCATCGTCGGAAGTGTATTAAGTAACTTCGCGCTGAACCCAATTTAGTAAGTGTTCCTCCACTCTGAAATCTGCCGATGTAACTGATGCCGCAGTCACACACGAATTGGTAAACACAATATGATTTGGCGCCGACTGGTTCATCTTTCCTTACTGAGGTTAACGGCAACTTTCTGGTTCTGTTGATAATTACCGCCTCCGCAGCACATTACGTACGCTGGATGGCCGAGACAATGCTTTGGTTGTCCTTGCTGCGGTGTCACCCTTGAATGGTAACTCGATTTCATACTGATTCACGCCTTTTGCGATTTGCCGAGGCCGTCGCGATAAGCCGATTTAGACCAGCTTTGTGTGTTCAAAAGCAATTAGTTTTCAACGTGCGGTTGCCGTGGTCCTAATCCCAACAACAGTAACCACAACCATAAATTTGATTGGCTTGACTGTGCTTTATGGTACATAAAAGGATTTCCCTGCAGCGAAGCAAACGATAAGTCCTTATTTTCGTATTTAAATTATTAACTATTTTACTATCCTTATCATCATTATTGTTATGTTGAAATCCCCACCAACTATCCAACGGGACTTGTAAAGCAACACTTCTTAACCCGTATAAATTCATTGTTCATTGTGGAACTCTAGCTTTGTGACCTAGACGAAAAATGTCAACCAGTGCGTTGGGCTTCCTACGCAGCTCAAGCTAGCTGTACCTGACAAACCCAAATCAGCACGAAAACGGTTCTTTTTAAGAGTACAGTGTTATGAGACTGTAGCTCCCAGTCACCACTATGGATGCGGCCCCAGTGACCGAAACAGCATAGATTTGCCTCAAAGCAAACTGTAGTCACAATCGAGATTTCGTGTCGCAATGCAGAAAAAAGGCACCAAAAACAATAATGAGAGAGCGAGATACTAACAAAGCCACTGTTGACACTGCGTTTTCAGCGATGAGTACTTTAACTTGTAGGTGTTCAATAGGGTTTGTTCCGCCATAGATGAGTCATTGAAAAGCATACGAACTGTCGCATACCTCAACGAATGATCGGTTGCATCGCAACTTGACAAAGTTGATCTGCAGTCCCGTACACCGCCGCGCGACCCGCGACCTCTATAGGTGTGATCAATTTGTGTCCAGCGCTTGGTAGATAGACGATGGAGGACGCCAGGTGGCATAGTGGCATCCAGGGTAACAAATACTCGTACTGGAGAGGAAAAGTTGGTCAGCACATAGAATGAGCAATCTCTTTCCGTTGTCAGAGCGCATATCATCATACCTATGTGGCTCCTTGAAGTGGCATTCACATGACAGCAGTCGACTGATGCTGGCGAGTCTCATCTGCCACGTTGCAATATTGTTAGATAGGTATATTTATTTATTTATATCACTAGCGAGGCTACACTTTTTGCTTGTAAACCAGGTGACTACCACTAATCGAGTTCTATTTCAGACATCACCTTTAGTTGCATTCCTAAGTTTGCAACTAAATAGCCTTCTTAACACTTAGTGCAACTTTGTCGTTTCCACAACGGTTGTGACCGTTTCGCAATATTTATTGCCGTGGTCTTCTTAAATCTACTACTGTTGTTTTATTATTCTGCAACAAATTTCTCATCATCTCTGCGATCATCCGAGTCTTACACCTGTTCCAAAGTTAGCACATCCTTCAAATCAATGACTTCGCTGTTTGGGTTCCATTCTCCCCCTTGTTTGTTATCTGCGCATTTGAAAACAGAGATGCATCGAAGACAAAAAATTTTGTGAATTGTGGCTTGAATATCTACATTGCGTTCCGCTTTACATCCGAGTTCGTCTCTGCTGTGCATCTGTCGACAACCTGGCTCGTTTTCGCTACAGGCAAAACTAATTGTTATCTGTTTCGTTCTTCCTCTTATCTTTTCGTGAATATGTTTGTCTCCATGGTACCTGTTCCTTTCATCTTGCATACGTTCATTCGTTATCCGATTCCACTCAAGTGATACTGCATTTCTGCAACATTGTAGGACGGTACAAGGATCGAAGTAGAAGCCGTTCTCGAGATAGGCGCTCTCATTCACGCCGAAGATCCACTTCAAGACGACGTCGTTCACGTTCCCGCGACCGACGTCGATCACATTCGCGACACGGAAAACGGCGTTCACGCACGCGCTCGCGATCTCATGGACGACGGCGGCACTCGCGATCCATCAGTCGTGACCGACGACGTAGTAACCGGGGCAGATCGAGGTAATGACTAGTCACTTGTTTTCTCCGTGACCTATACTTTATATTTCTTTTAAGCTTGATTAGGTGTTAAAGGCGTAGGATCTAGGAAGAACACTGGTGTTGCTTTCCAGCTGGCTGTATCTTGTTCCTGCAATTTGGGTATATTTAACGGGGTCAATGATATTTCTGAACCGAATAAAAAGAATGGAAAACTTGCTTGTGCATTACTTTCAATAGCCTCTACTATCCGGCCTCAGCCGATTACTCAGTTAACATGCAGTTAAAGTGAGCGCTTTGTGCAATTTGATTCGGCGTTCAACCACAGCACACTCGTATGCTTGGAAGTGAGTCGGATCATTCCTCTGGCACGAATAACTGCTTTGTCTTAGAAATCAATAAGTTAATGCTGTCATCACAGAAACAGCTTAACAGTGCTAACTTATGCTCTGACATTCATCCGCTAACTTGAGGAAGGTACTTTGGCTACCTAAACTGTGCTCTGTGGCACCGGTCATGTCATCTCGCTGTTTGTACAACGGGTGTGACTATTTCATCTTCGCGCTACCAGTCACTTTCTTCAATATCGTGTTGTTTCTCCTCGTTCGGCCCGGCATCGTCTTTCACCAAGCACATAGCAACCCGTCATCAAGTGAACCCCGAGACGGCGTTCAATGTGTTATTACGTGACAAAAACCCGATAATGCTGGCAATTAGTGAGGCGTTGTTACTTAAGGTCTATCAACCTATGCTATGTGTACAGAAACTCTTGAGGCAATCCATTCGGTTTCCATGGTCTTGACTGTGACATTTTGGTTGGTGTTGCTTATTTTTTCCATATATATAATTCCTTGTATGTTTCTGCTCGTATTGTGTATGTGCCTGAAGAGAACAATCGAAATGTTGACATATCGCAACCTCTGACTTTTTTGATGCAGTTGTTTTACTCTCTGGCTGTTCCAATGCTGGAATTGACCAATTAACTCATCTTAGTAAATTATTCAACATCATCCTACTCTTCAGATCAATCCCCAGAATGATTGTCTCCACCATTGTTCAAGCCAAATGAATTAACATCTACCTGTTATTATCTTTGTTATTTAACCGTACTTCGTCGCTTCGGCAACCTGCATCACGTAAACTTTTGTTTCCCTTCATTTCTGCGCTCCACTGTTGGACATTCACCGAATTATTTTCACTCGCTCCCTTGTTGTATCTCATCCGCCTTCCCTTTCTACTTTTTCTTAGCCTGTTCTTCCGGTCACCATCTGTGTTTCCTGTGTGAGTGATTTTGATATATTTCCCACTACTTGCACTTTACTCGCTTTGGATGATTGGTAGTGAACGATGCACTCGTGTTATTCCTTTTTATTGACCGGTATCTTATCCTTGTTTCCAGATCACGTGAACGACGGCGATATCGGCGTTCTCGTTCGCGATCAGATAGACGTCGTTCCTCACGTAGCCGATCACGTGGCAGGCGCACCGATCGCTACGACCGAGATAGGGATCGTGACCTTTATCGAAGTGGGAGGGATCGAACTCGCGAGAAAGATCGACGGGATAGGGATTATGATAAGGATAAGGATAGACGTCGGGATAAAGATAGGGATCGTCGAAGAGATAGCAAGTCTCGTAGGCACCGGGATAGCAGTGAAAAACGAACCCTCGATTCCCACCGTGACGAAAGAAGGTCGGAGGAGCCACGTTCAACGGCTGTCGGTGGTGACCATACTCCTAGAGGTGCCGTCTCGGAGAGCGGTAATTCGGCCAGCAAACGAGTACGACGAGCTAGTAGCGGCACCAGTTATGCCAGTGATAGCAGAAGCGACAATGGTAGCAATGTGCGCCAACCTTCAGTCAAAGAATCCACTCCACGTCACAACGGAAAGAGCAATCTTGAGGATTCCCCTTCTCGCTCATTTATGAGTGAAACCGATGTTCAAACATCCGACCGTGGTAACCCTTCGGACACAGAAGCACCTGATCATCCCTCCCCCAGTAGCACATCCAAAACAGACGCAGCTCCTGATCCACCTAATGATGCCGACTCGTCCAGTGATGCTATGGACACGGAAGTGTAAAAAATTTTAACTTCTATCCTTCACATCGGTACCATATTATTCCGTTATTGTTTTATATGATGCATTATACATACTTCTTCCCGACTTTTCTTGTATCCTGCGGTTAGTCCTAGAGTACTTTATAGTGTTCTCATTTTCTCCGTGGTCAACTGTGACCTGTTCGTCAATATGTTCCAACTAATACTTGGAGCCATATTCCTTATTTTTGACCTGTCTACAGCTAGTTGGCGAATTTCTTAGAGGTTGATTCTGTCTTGCGCATTTTCCAGCATCCAGACGACAATAATAGATCTTTTACTTAGACCACTAGTTGCTTTGGATCACTGGAAATAAATACTCATGGTGTAATGTAAGTCAGCCCTTCAAACTTTCCCGGCTGGCATGCTACTTACGTTAGTCACCGGAAATTTCTTAGTTGCAGATGCAGATTTTCTCTAGATTTTTACTTGGTACGATAGGTCTCTGATGTCTTTTTCAGCAATATGTCTCTACCACCAGTTCTAGTGCTCACTCCTGCTCTGATTTGGCCGCCTTACCAGTGTCCAGCTCACACACAACTGCCTGCACACTGCAAATATGATCCTGATATTCTACTTTCCTAGTGTGACCACTTTATCACTATCATCCACTGAAGTGTATCATACAGTTACTTCATCCAACTCTCCGTGGTCCCACGGTTTGATCTGCAGTGCGCCATCCTACAATTGCTTGTCTCAGTGACTACATGCCTGCTCCACAGCCAGTTTGCTTAGCACTAGGTTCAGTTTCCGCCTTGGTCTTGTTATGTCTGGTCGGGCTGGAAGTGTGATTCTTAAAACTATGTGTGCTTTGCATATGGTGTATGCAATTTTTATGCATCGCACCTACTTCACAGTGGACCATACAATGCATAATGTGCTTGTCAGTTTGCCAAAGATGTGGTTAAAAAAGCTAGTCATCAGCAGTACGCCGGTACGCAGTGCTGACGCTTCGCTGCCGCGCTGCCACCACCAGTCACATGTGAGGTTTACCCGATCCCTACGCAGGCTCGAACCCGCGCCCTCGGATTACAATGCAGATTTAAGGCTAGCAAAAAGTAATCTAAATACCTTGCCCACGAGTAACGGTGTCAACCTACATAGTATACCAGTACGGTTATTTAGCGACTGGTATACATGGCAACTACAAAGCAAAGCCTACTAATTCGATGTGACCAGCTCTTTTCTCACTCATTATTTGCTTGTTTTGCGCATGCTTAGTATCAAACTCCGAGTTACGAATGGACAAGTTGAACTGAAGTCGGACATAGACTAGAGCATTTGCTATGCTACGTATGCGCATCGATCACTAAGATTGCGTCGTGGTCACTAAAATGACCGTATCTTAGTAAGTCGGGAAAGGAATCATTCGATATCCAGGGGGTTGACCGTGCACAGGCTAGCCAGCAGCTTTCCACCTAACTTATCAGGGTTTTTCCATAATACTTCGATCCACAGTTACATGCGGCTGCGTAGTACTCACTGGACTGATAATTGATTAATCCACAGGTTGTTCATTACCTATGAGTGACATGCTTAATCATCATATGCAGGCAGCATTGATCGTCACCATCTTATGTTTTCCTTGAGGTGTACTTCTGTCATGCCCTCGGTAATGCCTGCTCGTGACCGCAACTTATCTTCCGCTAGAATTCTTGCACTGGTTATGAGATCTTACAGTCTGATTTCTCTGCTATGCCCGTCTCCTACATTCATGCTAGTGTCAAGGAGTCATCTGGTTGAATCTTGCCCTTTCTACAAACACCTAGGTTCATGTTTCAGTTGAAGCTGCTTACTGCGTGGATACATTGCTGCCAAAACCCCAATTAGCTCTTGCTATAAGACGAAGTAGATTATACGCTTTCTTTCATCTGACGGTCTATCGCTTAGATTGCTGCACGCCTTTGACTGTTTCGCCGTAGCTAAAAATGTCACACCTCTGCATATGTACATGAGCGTTCTATCCCTGTGTTTCACTGCCTTTCGGCTTCAGTTAGAAGAGAGTTAAAGAGAAGGTTGAGGGTGCTGAATACTGTATTGTGATAGCGAGTAGAAATTCTGACCTGTACAGCTCAGTCGAAACTTCATTAAAAAAACGTTAAAAATGTAAACTATCGATGACGTGAATATCCTGGTCGTCTTTTGCGTTTTTAACTGATGTCGTAAATAACACGTAACTCACCGTTAATTGAGGCTCAAAAATTTGAAATTTTATTTTAGGACGCTATCAGCTTTGGTCATGGAACAGATTCCACGGAACAGCAGCTAATGGCCCTAAGCTTCTTGCCAGGTCGATCACCCAACATCTGCTCGATTGCACCTTGTGCGAAAACCCTCGTAACGAATTCAAGGTTATCAATATGCAGAATACTCCGAGCTTACTTCGATCTGCTCAGGCTTCTGCTATCGGGCGACTGAAACCTAGCCTCTGTAAACAGCTCGACTTTGCGGCCAGCCTCGCCTTGCCCTAATAATGCGTGTTTCTTAACATTACAGTCCATGGCCTTGAATCTCTCGGTGTGCTATTGGTCCCTTCTTATTTGTATTCCTTTAATCCTTCCACTTTTTGTCTGTACGCGGCTGATTAGGAAGACACGAAATAATCGGATTTTAGGTTATCCCGCTGTAATCTTCGTTTTCGCTATCTTAACATCACCTAGTTGTTGTTGATAAAGTTGACTCATATTGTAGATGCCACAAACTGAAGATGAGCCTAGTAGCGACGTGTTGGACCCGTTAAAGGTTCCGCGCTTTTCGCGTCGTCGGGTGCTAAGCAGGCGAGCCGTACTCTAGCATTTTTCCTGATTAATGAGGAGAAGAGGCGAGTGTGGACCACTTCAGACTGCGTTTGAGTCCCTAGAACTTGCGCAGTCCGTTTCGGTGTACCCTGTTCGTGTTATCCACGGATCCGACAACAACTTGAGAGTGTGTCTAGGTCCTTCACGGAAGCTGTGGGATGGTGCAGTTGACCGTCACAAGTTTAAGTTCGACCGTCACAACCCTTCTCCAGGCTCATGAATACCGTTTTGGATGCGTTGGCTGGGAGGCGGGCTTCTGCAGACCACATTGGAATGCGGCTGAGGTCTTGCTAATGTAGGTAGCAGCTCTCGGAAGTGCCTATCACCCTCTACATTTTCAGGTCGTCTGCAAACAAGACAGAGCAACCGAAGAAACATGTAAATTGTTACTATAACTGAGGTGTTACGTAGGCCCTAGCACAATGCCTTTGGGGTACGCCACTGGTCGAAGAATCCCAGTCGATCAAATTGGCCATTGCTTGTCTACTTTGTTGGGGTCGTCGCCTTTCGGAATCGGTCTTACCACCGAGCATTTCCAACCAATTGGCTAAGAGCCTTTGGACATCGACTTGTTTAGCAAGTCAGTCACAACAGGCGAGATGATGGCCGATGAAGACTTAAGAATCAGGTGTGGAGACAGTCGAATCTAACAGGCTTTGTGCCCCCTAGGTTGGCGAGTAGTTGCTACACCTCTTCTACCTCACAATCGAGACTGTCGAGTTCGGTAGGGATTGATGCACACCGAATTGGGTGCAAACGCAGAAGCAAATGCGACGCCGATGCACGCTCAGTGCTGGAGGATAGAGGCTGTCCGTCCGCGTCCTCTGGTAGGTCACCTGTCAGCTTCAAGTACACGGAGCGGCGTTTGCCGAGGTGGCAAGCTGCTCCTCAAAATGCCTGCGCTTGCTCGTTTTCATACTGTGGCAGGTATTTCGCTGTTTTTCTACACAGTCGTCGACCGAGCCAGAGATAAGGAATTTGTCCCACAGCCTGCGCCATCGCGAGTCCAGCTTATCATATTCCTTGTCCAACAAGTATAACCTGATCGATCCGACTTTCCAACACTTAAAGCACAAACTCGTTATTTAAAGAGTTTATTCTTTGTAACTGACCAGCAAGCTTTAACGTTTGCTTTTTGCAACAGAGACCAATCCACTGGGCTTGCGGCTCGACTTAGGCCATCGAAATCCGTCTTCGGTAGTTTTAATCTGGCTGCAGTGCGTGGGATTGCTGAAGCGGCAGCTCTATGTTGCTGCGAGAGACTGTTGAATCCGAATATCACGTACGTTGTTCACCGCTGCTCAAGACTAAGTCAAAGCGCGTCGGTTGGCAGATGTGTTGTGCTGCCCCAACGAACTTTGTTTCGGCCTCACAATATCCTGTGATAAGTCCGATTTCAGGCCAGTTAATTCGAGGACAGTTGAAATCGACTATGAGTGGAAAATGACGGCGACTCATGTGACCCCAGAGATAGCGATAAACTGCACTCACGAGTAACTCTATGCGCCTCAGGTCGATGGAGCACCACAACTGCTCACCTAGGCTATCTTCGCTTCGGGGGATTTTGCAACTCTCCCACACAGAGAAACCCAGATGTGGAGCAAGTCGCCGCTGTGGGCATTCCATTGCTTATCACAGTGGAAGCACGAGTTGCTCAACTATCTGGGTGCATACCTCATCGTTCAACCACGTATCTGCGAGTCCCATGGCATCTAGTCGCTCCAAAGCAACGAAGCGCGCCGATCATCGCGCTTATTTATAGGACTGTAGACCTTTCTAGTGGGTACACGCAGGCTGTGGTAAGAACGGCGTGTCTGAAGAGTGAGCGATAAATCCCTCTGAATTCGCGTTTCTATTGCAATAACCCGCAAATTTACAACACTCAGGTTCGTTTCTGCCTGCCAAGTTCCCCGCTTTAGCTCGATGATCACACGCTTTAGGCGCTCCTGGTCAGTCGTATCTATATCCGGACGAATATACACTCTCAGTCAATTCAGCCGAGACAGTATTAGCTTCGGGCTGGCTTCGTCATAAAAATTCGCCCACATAGATCGGTCCTTCTTAGCAAACTTCACAAGGCTGATGACTTGCTTTATTTTCACTCACATCAAGGAGCTTATCAGCCAGGCTCTGTAAAAACTCTACGTCGTGAGCATAGCGTGTCTAAGGACTTGAATCGTTGGACTCGGTCGTGTGAAAAAGCATCAAATTTCATCCCGTTGTCATTCGAAGAGTTTCTTTTGGGATGGTGACCTCGATCCTTGCTTGAGGTGGCCTGTCCTTGTTCAATAGCAGCAGCTTCTCTTCGTTTCCTTGCTTATTCAGTCGAAAAATTTTGCGTGGCTCCTCAACCATTCGACATTCATTTGGGGCTTTAGAGCTAGCAGAGCGCCAAGTCAGTGAACCATTAGTTTCAAGTGGTATCGCGTCTCTAGAAAAATTAGGATGGAGAGGTCATGAGTTGTTAGAGGAAAGAGTGTGGAAAACTGAGTTAGACCTTGGGTGGACTCGGCCAGTTTGCGGGATGGTAATTCCAAAACTGCTCACAGTTACAAGCTTTTGGTCGCGATCTGCATCGGTTGAGTTTACATGTTTATTTGGCTGCCCTTGA